GCTTTCCCCGAGCCAACAGCTTCCTGGAGGAGATCCGGCAAGGCACCATCGAGCGGGAGTGCATTGAGGAGGTCTGCAGCTATGAGGAGGTCAAGGAAGTGTTCGAGAACAAGGAGAAGACGGTGCGTTAGTCCTGCCCTGCTCCCCAGTGGATTTGTGAGGGCTTACGCCTTAGCAAGCTGGGGGCAGAGAAGGAAAGCACAGGGGGAACAGCCTCTCCTGTTCCCTTTGTCCTCTTCTGTCTGCAGGCAGCATGCTGTGGCCTCGCTTTCCAGCATGACTTTCCCTTCCCAGGCAATGCCCGCACCTTGGTATTGCCAGGACACCCTGCTCACAGCTGCAGGTTGAGCTGGCACTCCCATGGCATGTGTGGGAAATTTGTGCTGTTGTCCCTGACTTTTCAGGCTGGGGTTGGTGTTAGCCAAATTTCTCCCTGCTTGGTGTGGGGGCTGTTGGCCGCTGTTGAGGGATGTTCCCATGATCTTTTGTGTTGGTTCCCACAGCGCATCAGGTGCTGGCAGCCCTGGTGAGAGTGGTGGGGAGGGCTGGAAAACTGCCTCTTTTGTGGGCCTGGGGAGGGCAGTGATTACTGCTGGTGGTGGTCAGGGGGTGCTTGTCCCACCTACAGCACATGATTTTTTTCTCTGTTCCTGCCACAGATGGAGTTTTGGAAGGGCTACACCAACTCTGTCTACTCTGTCAAGGACCCCGGGCACAGCACAGAGCGCTCAGATGCTATGTATGTGGTGGTGCCCCTCTTGGGAGTGGCTCTTCTGATAGTCATTGCCCTCTTCATCATCTGGAGGTGCCAGCTCCAAAAGGCCACCCGCCACCGCCCTTCCTATGCCCAGAACCGTTACCTGGCCAGCCGAACGGGACGTAGCCTTCCCCGGGTCATGGTGTACCGGGAGCGGTCGCAAAGCCAAGGGGAAACCCAGTATCAGCGAGAAGCGAGCAACCGGGTGGCTGGAGATGGCAGAGCTGGGGGCACCCCCCAGCAAGATGGCACCCTCTACCCGCCGGAGCATTCGGTCTCCGTCCTCTCCAGACTGTCCAGCGCCACCCCTCCACCTTCCTATGAGGAGGTGACAGGACACCCAGAGAGCAGCAGTGGTGAAGAGACCAGCATCTCCTACAATGACCCGCCACCCAAGTATGAAGAGATCGTGGCCACTGTCCCTGCCGCGGGCAAATAGCAGGTCTGCCTGCCTCCTGCCTCTTCACACACTCACACTCACCCACCCACCCTCCCTTCGCCGTGCCTGGGACCCCCTTCAGGTGCCAGTCAGCACCCTGTCTCACCTGTACAAGCTGGTGCCATCACACAATAGCCTTACCCTCCCAACCAAAAATAGCTGTCCCCAAGCGGGGTGAGGCTGGGCTGGGGAGATGGCTCTGGAGTCAGCCAGCTGTCTCCTGCCCCTGTCACTTCCCGCTCACGTAAGTGCTGTAGCAGCCAGGGCAGAGTGGCAGCCTGTTCCTGGCTCAATGCGGGGGTCTCCCCACGGTGCATTTGATTTCCTCACTTTCCCCTCGAATAGACATAACATTTCCCATGGTTAGAACAGCCTCGCTGCATCCCTGGGGCGCTGCTCAGCCTTACCCCATGTCCTCACCAGGCCCTGTTTTGCTGCTCGGGGCCCTGATTAGGAGTTGGGGATGCAGGAGGGGTGCAGCAAATTTCTGTCTATCCCCACAATCAGTGTCCATGCTCTGTGTTTGGGGAGAAAGTGCCTCCCTTGTGTGGGTTTGCTGCCAGGTGGGAGTGGGGAGCCTGGTCCATCCTGCAGTGCCTGTAGCGGTATTTGCTGTCTGGAGATCAGGGAGGAGCAGTCAGGGAGGTGCTCTCTGATGTCCTAGATAGCTTTGGAAAGGGGGAAAGGCTTGTGGTGGTCTTGTATGTGAGGTAAGTGACTTTGGAGTAGTAGGTCCTTTTCCTGATGCTCTCTGCTTTCCCCCTGTGGGGTGCCGGGCAGCTAGAGGTCTGACTGCGGGCAGAGCTGCCCAATGGGGTTATCTCTGACCTTGAGCCAAAGGTGGTCCCATGGCTTTAAGTGGTGGTGATGCTCCTCTTTCCTGGAGTGTGGCCTGTCCGGTGCCTGCCCCAGAGGTGGGATGCCGGCACAGGGAGCCTGCAGATGGGCCAAGCTTCCCCTCTCCCTACCGCAAACCTCTTTGTCCTGCCTGGCCCTTCTCTTTGGGGCTCTTTGTCCTCCAGAGCAGGTAAAGGGGAATAAGAGACTCCACTCTCCTCCAGGCCCCTGTGGTGGGCAGAGTACTTGGTGGCCATGGCCATGGCATGGAGGGCCTGCTGACAGACGTGGCTGCAGAGGTGAGAGCTGACTGATCATGCCACGACCCAGCGATGCCAGTGGGTCGGGAATAGGGCCAAACCCTGTTGTGCCACCAGGTGATTGTGGAGCCAGGGCAGGGCAGAGCCAGGTGCTTTGCTGTGGAACCAGTGTCACCTTTTCCTGGGCAGCTGCTTTTGGGGTCCAAGCAATGGGGCTGTCCTTTCCCAGTCATGTCTGATGGATTAAAAAGGGGGTTGTGCTCACCAATCCCCCAGGAGTAGCCCAGAAACTCCCAGCAGTGCCACCCCTCGGTGTTCACCCCAGCACCAGTCTCTCCACCAGCACTGAAAGGCTACTGAACATCCATCGGCTGCCTGCACCCCGCTCAGTCCCAGCGATGCTCTCACAGCAGGTGCCCTCAGCCCAGAGCTGAGGCTTGCCCAGCGTGGCCGCTCCCGGGGCAGGACATGTGGGGTTTGCAGCTGCAGGCACCTTGTCTGTCCCCTCCCAGGCCTTTACTCTGCCTTTTGGCCTTAGCAAATCGCGGTTATGGGAAGACCGGACAGCGAGCGTCGGGGTCAGAGCCTGGAAAAGACCGAAGGGAGACAGAAGGGCGCGCTGCATCCTCTGTCTTTGATGCTCGGTCGTTATCCCTGCAGTTTGTATTCTGTAAAACTAGGTCTATTTCTGTGCAAAAGAAAGGTATTTATTAAAAAACCCTCACCGTCTGAGTGGCACAGGGTGGCTTTTTCCACAGGGGGGATATCTCACCGGGCACAGCTGGATTTCCATTTCGTGGGGTGCTGGGGCTCAGCTCTGTGGGGCGATGGAG